CCTCAGCCTCCCAAGTAGATGGGACTACAGGTGCCCGCCACCACGCCCGGCTAATTTTTTGTACTTTTAGTAGAGACGAGGTTTCACCATGTTAGCCAGGATAGTCCGATCTCGTGACCTCGTGATCCACCCACTTCAGCCTCCAAAGTGCTGGGATTACAGGCCTGAGCCACTGCGCCCGCCTTTTCCCCAGTTTTCTAAGCATAAGGATTTAAGAGTGAGTTAGTGGGAAAGCATGACTACGGTTTAGAGAACCTGGTCAGCTGAAGCAGTCCCAATTGGTGATTCCAGTACACTTCCTGCTCTCGCTTCATGCAGAAGACCCTCTACTGACAAGAGAATCCATCCCCTTTGCACACAATGGTCACCTGACAGCTCAGAGGTCAACTTCTTGGTTTTGAGGAAAAACTCAAAAGGCTGCACATGTTTAAAGGAGTTGTTCCATTTCAGTGCCCCATTAGCCTGTCTTTCCTCAGAAATTTACCAAGCTCTTGATGTGATAAGCACCGAACTATGAAGCTTTTCCCTTCATCTCCCTGCTGCTCTGTTCTGTGAACCGACATTTTGTCTACAACCACACTTGATTTCTTCACTGTTTGCTCCGAAACTTCACTTTTTCTGAGTGATGTGTTCTGTCAAGTAGGCTAAAATAAAATACAGAATCTGCTTACAGGTAATACACAGAACAATAACAGACTGAAGGTACAAAACACACATGGACATTATGGTCATATAAAATATAAAGAAGTATCTAACATTAACAATTTTTCTAAGAAGTTGCACATTTTGTTATTTTTTTTAAAGCATTTCCCCACATTTTTTTTTCACCTGTAGATTCTCTGCAGTTAAGATTGAGCTCCCCTTTTTTTTTTTTTAATACGGAGTCTCGCTCTGTCACCCAGGCTGGAGCGCAGTGGCGCGATCTCGGCTCACTGCAACCTCTGCCTCCCAGGTTCAAGTGATTCTCCTGTCTCAGCCTCCCGAGTAGCTGGGACTACAGGCGCGCACCACCACGCCCAGCTAATTTTTTTTGTATTTTTAGTACAGACAGGGTTTCACCATGTTGACCAGGCTGGTCTCGAACTACTGACTTCATGATCCGCATGCCTCGGCCTCCCAAAGTGCTGGGATTACAGGGGTAAGCCACCGCGCCCGGCCAAGATTGAGCTCCCTCTTGCAATGTTTCTCAAATTCATCACATGATTATTGGAACATACTGACGGAATTTTCTGTCTGAAGCAATGAGTGCTATACATGAAAATTTTCCTCACATGTAATATTCATCGTTTATTTACAGTGTAAGCTTTCTGATGCTAAGGGCTGAGATGTGATTAAAGGCTTTGCCATATTCATCACATTCAGGAGGTTCCTTTCTGGAATAAATTCTCTGATGTCTATGTGAACTGTCCCACGTACCACATGTCAATCTCTCTACACATATTTAGTAGTTTGACTTTTATGCCTTTAATAATAAGTGCTTTACATATCAAGATGTCTCATACATCGATATTCTAAGGTTTTAGCCTTGCCTGCCAGGCTGGAGTAGAAACAAATACCCAACAACCTGAGGATTTGACTTCTCTTCCTGGCAAAGGTAGGTTATATACTGAAAAACTCTTCAAAAATTTCCATTAGGACAACTAGCATGCTAATGGTTAGCTGCAGAATGTTTCAACTGTTATTAGACTTCAGTGGGCCAAGAACTTTTGAATGACTATCTTGAATGCCAATTAGATGTTGCAAGCGTTTTTGACCATGACCCAATTACACTTTGCACTGAGCATCTGATAAACAAATGCACTGCAAGTGGTTTTAATCAACAGTTGTAGCCTGTTTTCCTCAGAAAACACATCTTCAAATAGCTGCTTCAAAGAGAGCATGTGCTGAAGATCCAAAGCAACCCTAGTGGCAGCTATCCAACAAAGTCAGGAAGATGTCCCCATGAAACGGAATTAAATGTGAGGGCACAGGTCACATTTAACCTTCATTTAAAAACAAAACTAAAAGATGATGGCTGATTTATATCAGCATGTAGTTGTGGCTGAAGGAAAAAAAAAAAAAAAGGCCAATGTAAACATGACCAAAGTCCTTTCTCTCTTAAAAAATAAGTGCTTGGGTCATTGCCCAGAGTTCCACACCTCACTTCCAGTTTCTTTCCTTTTTTTCTGAGACGGAGTTTTGCTCGTCACCCAAGCTGGAATGCAGTGGCGAAATCTTGGCTCACTGCAACCTCTGCCTCCTGGGTTCAAGTGATTCTCCCGCCTCAGCCTCCCAAGTAGCTGGGATTACAGGCGCCCACCACCACGCCCAGCTAATTTTTGTATTTTTAGTAGAGACGGGCTTTCACCACGTTGGCCAGGCTGGTCTCAAAACTCCTGACCTCAGGTGATCCACGCGCCTCAGCCTCCCAAAGTGCTGGGATTACAGGCGTGAGCCACCACGCCTGGCCTCAGTTGCTTTCTAGAGGGCAGAAGTCCTTGCTCAAAAGCACCAGCAGTTTTCTACATAACCACTGCTGTGGCTTATTCTTTGAAGAAAATCCTTAAGATATTTTCTGCCTCCATTTTACTATAAAAAGTTACTTAGATATACTTTTCTGGAGTAACAGGTTTTTCTTCCATTGCATGGGTAGAAATATCCTGGTGACTGGTTGACTTGCAACAACATTTTCCCAAGTAATGCTGACGAAACTGCCTAGAAGCTATGGGGAAGTTGTGGTTGGTTTAAGTCATAAAGCCAAGGAGAGGCCAAAGAATGACCACTGTGCAGAGTTTTAGCTCCCACTTCGTTGGTTCCATATAAAACCATTTGGTCTCACGGACTTTAGCTGCTGATCAGTGAATGATTGATGAGTAATAGTTTTAGTATAAATTTCTCAAGGGAAAGTCTCAAACTATAAATGGTGTTCTCTTGTTATGGGAAGGTCACACTGATAGTCTGGAGGTTTGTTCTCAGTCTACGTTTCTGTTTCCGCAGGGCTGTCCTAGCCTTGGGTAGGACCCTTGTCCTACTCGAGGGGCGATGACTACCTACACAGCTCACAATCTCCTGTGTGTGAAACAGTCTCCTGCCATCAGCTTCTAGGTAGCCAGCTGCACCCTGCGCACAGACGATGGGACCAGTGAAAGTCTCATAACCTCACCTCAGTCTTTAGTGACAAGAAACAGAAAAGTCACTGTGCACTATGACGGTGACACAACCAGCCACATCTCAGTACACTGCTGAGTTTCTCAGAGCAACAATGTACATTTAGTAATTGCCAGTAAACAACTAATGCTTTTGCAAAGTTACTGGAAAAGCGTGGGAAAAAACACTCCCTACCACGTTCCTTTTTCTGAAAAGCAACAAAAATCACATCTTCTGAACTCCAGTATCTAAGTTACAAATGATTCAGAAAATCCCCAAGTCATCATCCTGTTCAGCGGCTAACTGAAAAGAATTCTAAGAGCTTTGCCACAGAAAGATGTAAAAAAAAAAAAAAAGACCTTCATCAGTGTTCATATTTTTCTTCAAGATGACGATGATAAAGTCATTTCTGACATTCCATGGTATTTACTCACTGATCTGTTTAGAAAGTCTATGCAGGCGGCTGACTAGTGCCTTTCGTTTATATTTGGAACAAAAATAGCATCAGATCCTAGAGGTTTAGCATGCCTTGTGGCTATGAAGGTCCTCTTTAGAAGCTGGGCCAGGCTACCATATTTCAGGAACTCATGATTCACAGACCTTTATCACAGACGTAGAGGTCCTGTAGAAGTCAGTCTGAATGAGTGCCTCTTAGGTGTTCAGCACTCACTATGTCCAGCACTGTGCTGGCAGGGATAGAAATATATCCCTTGACAACTTAATCTTTTTTGGGGGTGGGGGGGTGGTTAAAAACTTCATACATGAAACAACGAAGGATTAAAAGGCAGTATACAATCAAGTGCTAACTTGTGGAGAAACGCATTTAGGAGTGCGACAGTGCTTTAGGGATTTCAAGAAGGGAGAGGTGTATTTTGAGTTGTTGTTGCCATTTCAATCGAACTGATCTCAGGGATGAGGATAGAACCATCTACATTTGTTGCAGTCCTTTGGAACTGTAGACTGGTGCACATACCCTCTCTTTCGGGAAGAGATAGAAATCTTTGGTTTGATACTGATTAGCACAGTCCTAGATTTCTACAGCTTTGGTAGGCTACCAGTGATCATATATATAACATATTGTATATATAACTAGCTTGAGCAGCATGTCCCAATGTTGTTTTTGTTTTCACTGTCCTTCTTTTTTGAGGAATAAGCAGGATGTTGGCCAAAGTAGGGTTTGTTTGCAGCAAGTAGCATCCTAACCTCCCTATCACGTTCGTGGAGCCAATCTTCATCTTTGAACTATTATGTTGTGGTTGCCGAGAGTCCAAGAGTGCCTTAAAGGTATCCTCATTACTGAAAAGCTGGACATTTCACTCTGCGTGTGCTTTTATCTTGTGTGGAAATCTCACGTGGATTATCCGTAAGATAAGCTTCTCCCTGCAGGGGCTGTGTGGAGGGATTATATGCCAAACTACTACATAAAGGCAGAACACTGCTGCTGTGACTCGAAGGATCCTTAAGTGTGATTTTTCTTTTTTAATCCGTGGAGGCTGTATTTCTTTTTCCCTCCAAGGGCACACATCTCTGAAATAATTTTAGAAACAAAAGGGGGAAATGGCTCGATGGCAAATTCTTCCTTTACACACAACTTTTCAGGAATGCGCCAAATGCATCAAGGGAGGCTGGGCTGTACTCAGAGGCTCGCTCTCTGGCATGGATTCTGTGATGCAGAGTGAGGGTGGAGCTGCGGGTGAAGGCCTTGCCACACTTAGTGCACTTGTAGGGCTTTTCTCGAGTGTGAATTCTCCGATGCAAAATCAGGTACGAGTTTCGGTTGAAAGCTTTTCCACATTCACTACATTCATAGGGTTTCTCCCCCGTGTGGATTCTCTGATGCTTGGTGAGGTCTGAGCTCTGGCTGAAGGCCTTCCCGCACTCATTACATTCATAAGGTTTCTCTCCAGAGTGGATGCGCTGATGGAGGATGAGATTGGAACTGTGGCTGAAGGCCTTGCCACACTCGTTACATTCATGAGGTTTCTCTCCTGTGTGGATCCTCTGATGCAGGACAAGGTTGGAGTTAAGACTGAAGGCTTTCCCACACTCACTACATTCATAGGGCTTTTCTCCAGTGTGGATGATTTTATGGCGGATAAGGCTTGAACTTCGCGTGAAGCATTTACCACATTCATCGCATCTGTGAGACTTTGTTCCCGTGGGAACTTCTTCAGGGGTGGTGAAGTTGGAGCTCAGACTGAAGCTTCTTCCCAATCCTTTCCCCTTCTCCCTTGGACCTCTCTCTCCTGGGGTGGTTTTTTTGTCCTTTCCTGTAGCTGGCCCTGAATCTCTCTTCTCTTTCCCGGTTTTCTCCTCAGGGATTTTCTGCTGTCTTTCTCCTGTTTTGCCCTCCTGGTCACGTTTCTCTCCAAACTCTTTCTGGAATCTTCCTGCTGTCTCCCCACGTGATGCCGAATCTTCTGTGGTTTCAGCCTTTGAGGTTGACTCCTCGTTCTCATTCCTGTTTTCACCACCTGACACAATACATAGAAAATTCAAATCGCACCTTTTTCTTTTCAATATACAGGTGGATCAAGTGACAGTTTCCCGGGAAGCTTCTACACGGCTGCAAAATGACTTTGCAATATTTTTATTTTTACTTCTTTTGAGACAGAGTCTCGCTCTGTCACCCAGGCTGGAGAGCAGTGGCGCAATCTCGGTTCACTGCAACCTCCGCCTCCCAGGTTCAAGCGATTCTCCTGCCTCAGCCTCCCAAGCAGCTGGGACTGCAGGTGCATGCTACCACGCCCAGGTAACTTTTGTATTTTTTTAGTAGACACGGGGTTTCACCATGTTGGCCAGGCTGCTCTCAAACTGCTGACCTCAGGTGATCCGCCTGCTTTGGCTTCCCAAAGTGATGGGATTACAGGCGTGAGCCACTGCACCCGGCCTGACTTCACAATATTAATTGGAGTAAAATAGGAGAAAAACAAGGGGAAAAACTGGGACAACAGGAAGATCTGTTGTTCTAATTTTGGAACAACAAAAATCTGGAAAATAAGAGTACAGGTAAAGAGTGGAGAGTAAGGGGAAATGACAACAGAGGGAACATGGGGAGAGGACGGGAAGAAACAGACACAAGGGGAATGAGTAGAGGGAAGAGAACAAGTCATGGCAGGAGGGAAGGGATGAGAAGCAGGAGCCTTCAGAGGTCACAGGTCTACCACTGGATCACCTGATAATTAACTGGAAGGTTTATGTATACATTTAAAACATCATGTTCCATTTCTAACAAGTATTCGTAAGTTCAAAAAAAGAACAGGTCTTTCATAGAAAATGATTAGTGGTATTAGCAGAAAGGAATACAGTTTAAAAAGGAAAAGTAAATATTTCTCCAGTTCTGTGAGTTTTCTATCAACAAGCTGATGATTAACAGGCAAACAAGAAACTTTGTTTTTTTTTTTTTTTTTTTTTTTTTGAGACGGAGTCTCGCTCTGTCGCCCAGGCTGGAGTGCAGTGGCCAGATCTCAGCTCACTGCAAGCTCCGCCTCCCGGGTTTACGCCATTCTCCTGCCTCAGCCTCCCGAGTAGCTGGGACTACAGGCGCCCGCCACCACGCCTGGCTAGTTTTTTTGTATTTTTTTAATAGAGACGGGGTTTCACCGTGTTAGCCAGGATGGTCTCGGCCTCCCAAAGTGCTGGGATTACAGGCTTGAGCCACCGCGCCCGGTCAAGAAACTTTGTTTTGTTTTGTTTTTGTTTTTCAGACAGGGTCTTGTTCTATCACCCAGGCTGGAGTACAGTGGCATGAGCACAGCTCACTGCAGCCTCAGTCTCCTGGGCTCAAGTGATCCTCCTGCCTCAGCCTCCCAAGCAGCTGGCACTACAGGCCTGCACCACCCTGCCTGGCTAATTTTTAAAATTTTTTGTAGAGACAGTGGTCTTGCTATATTGCCCATGCTGGTCCTGAACTCCTGGCTTCAAGCGATCCTCCTGCCACAGCCTCCTCAAGTATTGGGATTACAGGTGTGAGCCGGTGTGTCTGGCCAAGGAACTTGTTTTGAACCTGGCAGGCTACAGGAACCGTCAGACACATGGAATAGTTTCTCTCCACCAGGGAGAGGAGCACAGAGCTGACAGTGCTCAAGTAACAGAGGAGTAGGTGAAAAAGGTGGTTACAACATTAGTATAAATAACTAAACCCTTCACTGACTGACACAGAATAACTAAGAATGAAAAAGAAACAGAAAACAATGCTGGAGACCAGGTGCAGTGGCTTGATCCTGTTAAATCCCAGAACCCGGGGAAGCGGAGACAGGTGGATCGCTTTAGCCCAAGGGTTTCAGACCAGCCTAGGCAACATGGCGAAACCTCTTCTCTACAAAAAAGGCAAAAATTAGCTGGGCGTGGTGATGCATGCCTGTAGTCCCAGCTCTTTGGGAAGCTGAGGTGGGAGGATTGCTTGAGCCTGGGAGGTCAAGGCTGCAGCAAGCTGTGATCGCAGCACTGCATGCCAGCCTGGGAAACAGCAAGACCCTGTCTCAAAAAAAAAAAAAAAAAAATTCATCCAGCACAAAGAGCAAGTACCAAGAGAAATTATAAGCCCCATGTATGCCTGATCAAAAACAGAACTTGATGTTTCATTAGTAACATCCTTCATGTTCACGCTGTATTCACACTCCCTTTGCCCTCTCCAGGTAGAAGCTTGCTGCGGACCTCCCTATTACTGTACTCACGTGAGGGCTTCCTTGCAGCACTGTCCTGAGGGGTTAAGATCCAGCAGAGACAAATGGAAATGTCTGCCAACAGTGTCACCTTGTCTTATCTGGCTGATGCCCCTTGAACTTCCTTGTTCTTACTACACATCCAGGACCCAGAGCTCTTCATAGAAAATCACCATTAAGTTTGGAAGCTGGGAATCCTCATCACAAGGACAGTCCAGGTGCAAGTTCGTGGAATTATACAAAGCAGTGTATTGGAATCACACTAATCACACAGGATGGAAGAAGACAGAAAGCCAACAGAAGGATGCTTGGTAGTTTCGGGAATGTGGTACCAGGACAATGAATTGGGATTAGACGGATGATCAGTTCGCCTGGTCATCTCTGCTAGGAAAGAGATATTCCCCCGACAGAGGCACCTAAACTGTAATCCATGGGAACGGAGCAGAACTGCCTTCCAGGCAACTGAGTGGCTGAAGAGGTGAGGACTTGGAATGCAATTATTTCTGATTCTAAAGAGCGAAAACTACCTAGCGATAAAAAACCCACCTGGAATCAGGGTCACAGTACCATGCTTTTGGAGTTAAATGAACACAAACATTCTCCCTCTCCATCTGGTCTAAAAAAGGGGGTAGGGGCCGGGCACGGTGGCTCAAGCCTGTAATCCCAGCACTTTGGGAGGCCGAGACGGGCAGATCACGAGGTCAGGAGATCGAGACCATCCTGGCT